ATGTCATCCTGACCTGGCATCTCTGCCGGCAAATCCTCCTCAAATAGCGGCGCATCTAATGCAGCTGGATCAGGCGTTTCAGGAGCGTACTCAAGCCCTGGCATTACGCCATTCATGTGCAATAAATGCCGTTCGACCATTGGAAAAGAGAATTCACCATCTGGACACTTGATCTGATTTACCCTCAGCGGAGCAATGGGTTGATCATAGTCCTTCTCCATCAAATCTCGCAAAGGAATAACAAGAAATTCGTGACGCCAAAGAAAGTCAGGATGGATAGGATACCCCAGAAATATTCCGGCCCTGAAAGTGGGCTCAAACTTCAAAGGCTTGTTGGGTCGATTCCTCGGGCCAGTCCAAAAGTTGGCTTGACAACCAAAAGACAAATATGGTCCGGGAAAACCTTCTCCAAAACGTACCTTCCAAGGTGAATGATAATCTGGGTGATCCGTGATATTGTGCGCCATGCAGTAGTGTTTGGCCGCGTGTGGCCAGTATGAATGGTGCAAACCAGCTTGTTCCAGGTTGGTCTTCGTGCCCTCGATAATAGCCCTGACGTTCCTCTCAGCAATGGCATTCGTTTTGGAAATGTAGTTTGTACTTTGAACATGCTTCCATTCCAATTGATCCGCTGCTTTCACAAGTTCAGGAGCCCGATCACTGTAAAATATGTTCACGGTTTCCCCGGTGCGGACAAAGTGTTTGAAAGCCATCACACATTGATAGGTTTTCCGTGCTGCTGGGTAAACATAACGGAAATCAGTGGCAACATCTCGAACCACCAGTGCAACTCTAGATTGGTCAATGCCGATTTCACGATCATCTGAAGTAATGAGATGGTCCGCCGTAAGGTGATCACCAAACTTCTTAGCCTCGACTTGAGTGGAGCCTCCCTTTTGTCTTGATGGATATTTGTACATCTTCGCCCTGTTACAAGTCTCGCAAAAGGGGTTCTTGGGAGTGTGACACATCAAGTGCTGGAGTGAGGTCGCCTCATCACGCAAAGCAGCTTCACCGCGTTCGCGAGGAGCATCCTTCACAACGGGCTTAGACACAAACTCGGAAGCGATGACCTTAGGCGCATCTTCAGAGGAAATGTCATGGCATTTTTCAATGACCTCACCTTCCGGTTGGCTGATAGCATCTTCAAGCAAGAAATCGTCGTTTCCCAATTCGTCCCCATCATCCTCATTGGTCACAAACACTTCTTCCACAGCTTCTGGTTCTTCGTCAATGACTAGAACTTCATCCTCAATTTCAATGGGGGCTGATGGCAAAGTTGTAACCTTTGGAATGCTTTGTGACAAAGCTGGAACAGCATTTTGGGTCTCTGAAGGGATGAATGGTACATTGTCTTTGACCTCGAGCTTGATGCGTGAACCATCCGGGAGTCTGAAATAAGGTCTGCTGTGTGCTCTCCAAACGAAGTCATATCCGTCTTTGAGGCATCTCATACCCACGGACAACACGGATGGAGTCTTGTCAAGAACATACGGCCGAACAACACTATCGGTCTGTTTGATCTTGACATTGGCCTGCTCAGTACCGAAAATATTCCCATTGGCAGTGGGAAACTTCAGCGGTTGAGACGATTCGTAAATACTCCCCGTCTCCGCATCCGTTCTCGACAGCAAATCCTGAGCCCCACCTGTGTCCGCGATCCACGGAATGTGAGAAGAATCCATTGGTAGATAAGCAACAGCAGCATTTCCCTTTTTCGGGGAAATTTCAGGCTTCTCTGGCTCGGCCGTTAGGCCTGCGGGGATGCAGGAATCACAGCCGAAATCAGAGTCGCATTGAAACTTGCAAGAAGTCTTCGTGCCATTGAGCATGTCCTTTACCATTGCTTCATGCATAGCACCGACAAGAGTTGCGTCTGAAACAGCTCTCTCATCGAACTTTGGAATGTAATCCGCAGGAAACTCTTGTGCAAACCTTCTCGACGAGGCAGTGTAGGGCCAAAGCTCGCCGTCAGTCTCATAATTCGCAAACGATGGGTAATCCGAGAATTGTACACACTTCTTGATACATGGCATACCCTGAAAAACATCGCAATTCACACTAGGCAGGAAAGGATACGAGGCGACCGAGTCGAGGGTCGCGGCGCACACCATCGCCTGAAGGAGGCACACCGCCGCATTGCTGCCTTTTGACGATCGCGGAGACTTGAGGGACTGAGAACCCTTCGAATCTTTCGAATCCTGAGAAGAAGGCCTGCTACTCTTCTTCTTCTTTTTCTTGTCTCTCGGCGACGTCTTGGGGGTGTCTCCACTAGTGTTCTTGTCGGCTTTTGGGGCTGGAGCTGCCTTGGAAGTTGCGGGGTGCTGCCATGGGCAGTCTTTCCCTCTCTCGCATCTGTTCGCTTTGAAGAACTTGCACACCTGGGGTTTCGAACCAGGGGGACTCTGCGAACGATACTTCCTTGGGATCTGAGACCTTGATCCGCCCTTCTTGCCTTTCCCCTTACCTTTCGGTGCCTTCACATGTTCGAATCGGCAGTCGGAAACATAGGTGCATTGGCCAGATTGAAATTTCACACATACACCCTTAGGGATTCCAGGATCAGCAGGGTTGTTCGATGGAGCCCGGCCACGTCCCGTCGTGTTGCTCGACATAGTGTCACGCATGTGAACAAGCCGCTTCCGCTCCAAATAATTCCTCGATGCATCGATCAAGAATTTATAGGAGTGCTTTTCCGTCCCTTCCTCAGCCCGCTCGTATTCATTGAGATCGTGACTGAGAGGACGAAATTTCCGAATCTGGCGGTGGAACAGCGCCTCAAGCGTCTTCTCGTTCCGCTCATTGCCCATCCCAGCGATGACCGTGTCCCATCTCGTCATGAAGTTCTTGAGGTCCTCGTTGATGAGCTGGACAGAGAGCAAATCCTCGAAATCGTAAATTGCACCATGTTTAATGTTCGTGCTGAAGTGCTTGTGAATCATCAAAAGAATGTCGACTTGCCGCGCGAGGTCGCCCTCCAAGATGTTCGTCAATGCCGATGCCAGCTTGGCGTCAAGATGAACAAACATTCCTGAATCACGAAGGACTTCAACAGTTTGACCTGGGATCCAAGTTGCCTCAATCCACTCAAATGCCTTCTCGGGTTGATCAGAAGTGGCAACAACAGTATCTTTGACTTTGATCTTCTAATTACGGTACTGTTCGGGCTTCGGGAATCGGGGAATCTGAATTCTGTCACCCTCCTTTACACGAACGCGTTCCGTTGTTGGATCGCTCGAATTCCCTAAGTGCTTCAGTAGCTTTCGCCGAAACGATTCATCCGATGCCGTTGAAGTTGACGATGAAGATGACGAGGGAGAAGATGACGGATCTCGTCGCCTGCGTCGGCTACGGTCCTTCTTCTTCTGCTTCTTCTTCTTCTTCTTGTTCTTTTTCTTGTCCTTGTCATCTCCACCATCACCATCATCGCCAGGCCAACCGTCTCCGGTAGCAGCATCGTCCACGGCCCTGGCGGGAACGGATCCGTCTTTGCCGTAGGGGTCGCTCCCGACCTTCGTCCAACTGTGTGAGGAAGCATTCGAAAGTCCGGGTGGAGATGCGGCCAAAGGAATTGTTGGGATGGCCAAGAGGGTAGCTGGTGCCTGCTGAACAGGAGGTGCAGGAGTCGGAGCAGGCTGAGCGGGCGGTTGCTGTTGATTCTGCATCATCTGTTCGGTTCGACCTCTGCTTCTCCTGCTCGCTGATCGTATTCATGGCGTTTTGATACTTCATCTCGGCTTCTCTTTCTGATTTCATGGTGTTCACACGCTGCTCCGCATTCTTCTGAATCTCGCGTCTCATGGCCTCTGATTGGCTTTGAAGTCCGGCAATGATCTCACCATGCCTTGCCTCCGCCAACTGGGCGACCATGGGACCGGTGTCCTGATTCACGAACTGGTTGAACTGGGCGTTGTTCTGAGTAGCGTTGACTTGCTGATAGTTCGTCACCTCCTGGTTGATCGTCATCGAAGGATCGAGGTGAACGTTCGCAACATGTTGATTGAACTGAGTCATGGACTGTGGCATAGGGTTTCCCCTTGCGAGATCGGCCTGGGGGTCATACATGACGATGTCACCATGCCGATGCCGATCTGATCCAACAGGTGAAGGAGATCGAGCACCAGACCGCGGTCGCTCCGAAATCGAAGCGATTCGGGGCCCTGACTGCCACTTGGGAATTCGCGCGACTAGTCGGTTCATACTGCGAGGCGTCTTCATCGCCTGCGGGCTCATCAGGTGTGGGACGCACCTCAGTAGGGGGTAGTCCAGGATCGCCATCCATGGCGTACAACTCTGTACAAAGAGCCGCTTACGGCTGATACCCTAGAGAACAGGTTAAACAACCAGGAAGAGTCAGCTATGTACTCAATCCGCGGCGCGCCTTTTTCTTGAGCCAGGCGCAGTCGGTGCAACAAGACTGCGCTAGTGAGACACTCATGCATTAGGGTTTAACATGGTTGATAAATACATCACGCTGCAAACTACAGTAAGTTCCAATGGCTCCTAGTCGAGAAGTGGGGAATCCTTTGAGGGGGTTTGGGGAATGAACCGAAAGTGGATTGTTAGGAACCACAAACGATGGTTCATAAAGATTATTCCCTCGACTCTGCTTGGAACCCTCGACTCTGCTTAGAACCAGCAATGGGCTACAACACCATTCTGTTGTTTTCGACATGTCGAACCCGCGCTGTGTTGCCACACTTGCGAAGCCAACTGCAGTGGCTTTGACTAGCCTGCACGCACATGCTGGCTGACGGCCAAAGAAACAGCAGGAATTCAGCACCACATGGCAAGACAAGCTGTTTAGTGCGAAGCTTTCACTTGAACTGGTCACAGCTACATTTCACACACACACACACGTCTGGTCTGGCCCCTCACACGCCTGCGCTTCCTAGCAACCACACTTACGTACACACAACCTCCTCCAACGGGACGTCCTCGCCATTGCGCAAACGTGTGCGTGTGCGTGTTGGTGAACTAGTGGCAGCTGAGCCCCACACCGCTAGTACGCGCAGCTGCTTCCGCTGCCGCCGCAGCAGTTCCAGCAGCGGGCGGCTGTCTGCCAAGCGCTCAGCGCCCTGAGAACCGAACGGGAAAACCAAGATCCCCTTGCATCACTCTTCGAGGTGCTCTCTCCAAAAGAAACAACCCTTTATCTAGGCTAAATGATGAAACCTGGAGTGCAACAAAAATTGCTGCGAACATGTGAAGCCAAAAGTGGCCCAGGGTTCAAGGCAGGCTATACTCCAAGCGTAGCAACCTCCCGGTATTTTGAAGCCAAACACAAAGGTCGGACCAATGTGAGACACAGTCAGAGTGCTCTGCTGCCCACTGCACATGCTGGTTCTTGTGAGTTTAGTGAGTCCATGTACATATAGTTTATATCTAATATGCATATTTCTAACATGCCGAAGGAGAAAAGTGAGTCCTGTTTGACTGCCTCATGAGCTCATTGCTCCTGCACCCCCTAACGGGGGCAAAACGTGCGCGCCTCTCCAATGCGCGGGCCCCGAATTCAGCTCCTTTTTTTTCCCAAACACATGACCTTCTTTCCAACAAGCATGGAAGCTGGAAGGGCTTGAAAAGGTCGCAACCCTTTTAAACAGGGCAACAGCTGTTCAGGACTTCGATTGGAATGAGAAGCCCCTAAAAGCCAGCAAACAATCGTGGAAAATTGCGCCATCTACCCCCACCCAGCTGTAGTTGGAGGTCTTCCGGTCCCATCAAGCCGTGGGTGTAATGCCAAAAACCAACCAGCTGCCAAGTAGTTGCCTGTTGCTAACCGATGCCAGTTGCTTCGCCCTCCCCCGCCGCCTGTTCGCCGCCGGGGCAGGCGATGGCCGCCCAGTCCACGCCCTCGCAATTCGCAAGGCTTGTGTCTGCGACCACCTGAGCTGAGCTGAGCTGAGCTGAGCCGCAGCCAAACGACTCATTCAACGGCTTCCATGTGAGCGGCCGGATTGTCCAGCCCAACGACGGACAGCCCCTGCAGATGAATATGTAAGCAAGAAGGCGGGTGGCTCGAAAGTACAGTTTACTGGGTCTTCTGCACGAGCATTCCTCACGCTTCTGTTTTCTGAGAGAGTTCCGTAAGCAAGTTTCCTCTGAGAAAGCTCTCTACGCCAGTGGCTCTGCGCAAAACTCACCGAGCCAGTTTTCCGAGCAAGTTCCTTTGCGAAATTCTCGTAGAAAGCTCTCTCAGCAAGTTTCTCTGCACAAACTCTCTGCGCAAGTTTCTCTGCACAAATTCTCTGCGCAAGCTTCTCTGCACACATTTCTCTGCTCAAGTTTCTCTGCACACATTTCTCTGAGCAAGTTCTCTGAGTAAGATTGTCTGCGCAAGTTCTCTGCGCAAGTGGCTCTGCGCAAGCTTGTCTGCGTTTCTTGAGCAAGTTTTCTGAGAAAGTTCCGAGCAAGTTCTCTGAGCAAGTTCTCTGAGCAACTTCTCTGAGCAAGTTCTCCGAGCAAGGCTGTCTGAGCAAGCGTGTCTGAACAAGTTGTCGGAGCAAGTTTCTCTCAAGCTCTCTGAGCAAGTTCTCTGCACGCAGCGCTGACCCCAATAAGGCTGCCTTCCGCCGCGAGTACGATTTCCGTTCAAACCAGGAAAAGTGTACTTCCAGACCCTGTTTCCGCGCTGAGAAGCTGCCATTGCCGGAGCTGCCTTCGTACGTATTTTTCCTATTTTCTAGCTAGCGCTAAGAAAATGTACTTCGCATAACTTTTGTATCACTTTCTAACTTACTTGCTGCGCAGACCAAGCAAAATTCGAGCCCAGAGCCGCTCGCTTCCAAGAGCTAGCGCGCAACCGCGAGACAAACTTTCGGTTCAGCTTCCCGGCTCTAGCGTGTTTCACCGCACCCGCCCACAGAATCTCCACAGAGGGTCGTGCGGCGCATCGAAGAAAGCTCGAATTGCGTTACCCTTGTCTAACCTGAACCACACAGATCCCCGCAAAGCGTTGCCTCAAGCTTTTGAGCCGCAAACAGGCCAATCCACGCAGAACGGCCCCACCCAGCTGGACAAAGCAAAGTTCAAACAGAAAGCAAGTTCTCCAAGCAAGTTCTCTCTGATCAAGTTCTCTGAGCAAGTTCTCTGAGCAAGTTCTGTGCATTTTCGTCCAAGGCTTCCGTACACATTAGCAATGCTTCCTAAAAAAAAGGTTTGGGAACAGACGGGGTCCTATTGATTTGCAGAACAGTCCAAACTCCCCTGCCATACAAAATGCCGAAAAAACACGGATGCTTTCTCTGGAAAGGGCGTTGAATTGGCCACTCAAGACCCACAATTTCGCAAAACCACGACAAAAGCCCGGCTTTGGGTGTGGGTTTCTTTGTCTGAGGAACTTTACACAGGGATTTGTCCAACCACCATGCAGGGTGTTTCAAACATGTTATTCGGTTCCAGCCTTCGCTCCGACGGGTGAGTCTTGTCTTAATGGTACCCAGTTTGCTATTCAAAAGTGAAACCAGAGGAAAGCCACCGGAAGCAAAAAGGTTCCACAACACATTTCATTTCAAGACAACCCCAACAACTGTCGCAAAATCAGAAACTCCCGCCTTGCCATGGTTTGGAAGAGCAAAAACAACTCAGCCACCCCCGGGCCCGTTTGCCACGGTTTGGAAGACCCAAAGACAGGGACCCTGCGCCAACCGGTTCGAGCGAGCCGCCGTCAGCCCCCCGAGATTCAGCCGCAAAGTCTTCTCCGCAGAGGCCAGCGTCACGTTGGCGCCTGCGCGCGTAAGGACCTTGGCAACTCAGCACCAAAGACTCGCGTGACGGGTACACTCAAAAACACCGAAGAAGCCAGGTTAGAGCATATTGATCATGGTTGATCATAATATTGTGCGGGTTGCATTTATCTCATGATCACACATTTAGTTGCTGCCAAAAGCTTGTTTGGAGGCGTGGGGTTATATGCACCTGTGGGCGGACTTCCTTCTGGTAGGCCTGAAAACAACGTCGTTGACCTCTAAATGGGAGCTATGGGGAAGGCGGTAATTCCCACCTATTGAACTCTTAAGAAGGCAAGGCCTTATTAGAGGGATGGGCCATGTAGGGGCTTGGGAGGGTGAGGATACGATTCGAAACCTAAACACACATGCCTGCTGACAAAATAGGCCCTAAACGTCCACCACAACGGGGCCGGGCCACGGGAGTTCGGAAGGACCTCTGTGCAAGAGCACTCTTGTTTAGATTCGATGTAGGTTTCTTTTTGAACGGAGCCATGACAGCTTGAGCCACTTTCCATATGGCTCGAAGCCACGCAAGAAGGAATGGATTTGAAGGAGCGCCCAACAACACGGAGTTTCGAGGGTCGACGCACGAGTCTCATTTCCCGTGCTGCAGTTTTGCAAAGCAGGGGCATGCAGTCGGGCAAGCAAGCAAATCCGAAGCTGACATACTGACACCCAATCTGCAAGCTACTTGCATTTGCCAAACCGGTCGCCACCTGAAGCGATGATGTAGCAGGACTCAAGCAAACGGCCGACTGATAGACCAATGGAACATCTGCGCGGCTCAGTCACAAGTTTCACCAGGGTCGAAATCCTCACATGGGGATTCTGAAAGTTGAGCATTGAATCTTTAGGAATGAGCAAACCCTGGACGCTGACCGCCTCTTGAAGCAAGGTCGAGCCGTATTGGGTTCTCCATCGGTTCCTGCTCGGGCATCTGGCCATGGCCTGACTATTTCTTCGCAAACCTGGCAACCAAAGTGTTGATTCTGCCCGAACACAATACAATGTGGTGCCTTATGGAATATCTTCAAAAACCATCCAAAACAGATGTCCCTCGGTTGACACCCTGAAAGGATTGATATGTGTGTTCTTAGGGGAGATTGTATGGACCCCTGCTCAACGGGTTACTTACCCGTGAAATCTCACTAGATTGTGGCAAGCCCATTTTGGGCGAAAAAACACATGGGTTTATATCTCATTTTTGGATGTATAATTCTCACCCAAAAAGCGCGGAAGCAGGGCTTTACCCTCCCTGCCCTCGGCTTCAAGCCCGCCACGTCCGTGAGGCATGTCACCTCGGCTGCCCAAATTTCATTTGCGGCACGGCTGCTTCATTCAGAGCGGCATACATTCCGAAGCAAAAATAGAAACGACCGGAAGAATGCGCAAAACTTCGGGGGGCCTCCTACTTCCCCTCTTCTGCCGCGTTTCCTCCAAATTGCATCAGCGAAGGCCTCCAATAGCTAAAAGCTTCTCAAAAACAAGAAAATCGCGGAGAGTGGGCGGCAGCAAAGGCGATGCGAGCGGTAGCGGCGAGGGAAAGTGTGAAATTGGCATCGTGGGCGGCAGTGGCTACTTGAGGCGTGGCAAATGGGTGAAGGCAGTGGCCGTGTGGCACCCTCTGTGGCCCGAAGCCCCATCTGCAGCCCAGGCTCGGTCACTGCGTCGCTGCCTCGGGCCACCGGCACCTCGCAGTGACCAATGTTTTGGCCGAGGGCGTTGCCAGGAGCTGCTCCAAAACTCCTCTTTGTCTTGACCTTTGGAAACCGGGTGGCCAAGGGAAGTTGCCTTTCCAGCAAGGAAGCAACATCCCACCGTCATCCCCTCCACCCAGGCACCACAGTGCGGCGACCTGCTCTATTTTCTTCGACAGCCAAAGGGGTCGCCAATTTCAGGAAACGCTCAGTTGCTCAATCCGCTTGAACTCAAGGTGTAGGCTGGTGTTTGACCATCAGAGGTTTCCTTCGTGTAGCCATCATGGTGGTTTCCCTTCTTGAGTTTAGTTTCCAACCAAACAGCTCAAAAGACAGTCCAGCAGAATTCACGACACATGCACATTTTCTGAGGGGGAAAACCAAAAAAAACACCACCGACGCCAATGACGACGAGGTCTTTACTGCACGCAACGCCCTCAAAGCCCACAAAGCAACCTCCTTGTCCGTGAAATAACAAGGTCAAACCAAAGAATCACGTACCTAGTTCCCCTTGAGCGGTAGTATGGGGAGCAGCGCAAACCTCGTAGACGGTCGAATACGCAACTTCGTCTGTGTCTTTGCCTGTCGGCATCTGGGGTGGATAAGTGGGAGCCCTGGAGACATGCGTACAACACATGCACGATCCAGGCAAGGGTTGAACATGTGGATGCCAACGCACGCATGAAAGACAGCCCACGCGCTTCCTGAAGAAACGCCAGTTTACAAGGAAACTCACAAGTGGCAAACAGAAGGCGAAACACATTGAAACACGAGCAAACATGCACGCTGACTCATCATCGCATGGTCCAGGGGCCAAGTCTGCCCTGGCTCGAAACCCGGCTCCGCTCATCCCCGGCCGGCTCCGAGTTCCCAAGTGCCGCGCCAGGACGGGCAGAGCGCGGGGTTGTGCAAAGTCAAGGCCTGCGCGAAGTCAAAGCTTTGCTACCTGGTGGCATATACTGAACCCCTTGATTTATAAGAAGGTGCTCCAATCTGAGGAGGTCCTCCACTTTTGGCAAGACATGTCCAACCAACAGAAGGATTCGAGCTCTTGGCTTGTGTGCACAACCTGGCCTTTGACCCCTTGCAAAAAGAGACCCCCTTTGCTGTTAAGTAGGGGAAACGTGTGATTTGTTTTCTTCTTCTTAAATGAAAGATTGAATCTCGAGGCAAGACCTTCAGCTCTGCAACGTCCACCAATGGGAAAGGTGACAGGAGCTGCAAGACTTTCGCGGGCCGGAAGCCTTCCGAAAAGCGAGACGACAAGAACAATTGTGCGATTTGTTTGCTTTGTGCCGTTACCTGAACATAACACCGAGTTGCCTCGGGCACTCTTCAACTCGGTGATATGCGGGTTCCAAGGGTCACCCTTCGACATGCCAAGCACCTGACCAGGCCACCGCCAGCAACAGCGCAACCCCTCGTCGCCGCATGGCGAAATGAGACAATTCTACCAGTCGTTGCTGTGATTTTTGGACAAGTGAGCTGTGCTCAAACACAAGCTTTGACAATTAACACAATTGCTTCTTCAACTTCTGACGCCTTTGCTGAATGTTGTGTTTCATGCCTGGGTGCTTAAAAAACATAGGCGGTCAAGAAAATCAAAAGGAACTCATATCTTGTGGCTTTCCCAAAAGTTCAGGAAAGGCTTGACAGGTTCATCTTCGCACCCAAATGCCCTGTCAGCCATAAACAGCATTGAAGGCTCAAACTACAGAAATAGTGCCGGACACCCGCCAAGGCTAGCCGAAATAAGCTGCAGGAGCACATCGACCGCCCGGAAAAGTCGGCGCACGCCTCCCCCCCCCAGGGCCGATACCCGCGCTGGGATATGCACACGATTGCCACGGTGCGAGGCACGAGAAATGGTTCAACTTCTCTCTCCATGCTACACAAGCTGCGTGAGATCAAGATTGCAAATGAAACTATATATACATATATACATGTATAGGTATGTACACGATTGCATGAAGGTCAACCACGATGAACACACGGAACAAAACAGACACACATTTCCCTTGACCTTCAGCATCGAACTGCGTGCCGTCTTGAAGCAGACGCCCTTGCCGCTATACGCGAGTCGCCCTCCTCACTGGCCCCGCCCCTCGGGCTGCTGCTGCTACCATTTTGAGCTCTGTCATTCCATCCCAGTGTGACGGGGTCCGGGGTCCTCCTAGGCAGAGCAAACTACAACGTTGCAGTTTGCTGGGCAAAGCTTCATGGGTGGCGCACGCTTGGCATTTGCCCTGCACGCACATTGCACACCACCTCCTGCGCCTGCAAGTCCAAGACCGCAGTCGTTACAAATGTTCGCATGAGTGACAGCCTAATGAGGGTTTTTGATGATGTTGGTTATGGCGCCCATACGTTGCTGGTCGCATCTCTTGACGGGCATGTCCACTTTTAAACAATCAAATCCTCTGAGTTGAGAAAAAACCCGCATGCTTTGTGGAACCTTGGCTTGTTCCCGGCTTGTTCCCGGCGTTTCATCACCCTTCCCATCTCGCTCTCAAGTTCTCAGTCCCCGCCATATGATCAAAAACAAAAAGCCTGGAGATGATAGCTCTATTTGACATGCTGTTGGGGCGAACGACTGTCGATCTAATGGCACCCTGCAGTCGGAGCTCAAAACTGAAAGACATGAAAAGTTCTTGCTGGAATCATCGCCACTTGCTTCCGGGAGTCCTTCTTGCAATATGGGCTGCGTTGGCTGTAGTCAGTCCATTCCTTGTCACTTCGCTGAGGAACATTACAATTGGGGCTGATGTAGACTGGGGCAGACCAGTTTTTGTCGTTTCCCTTCATTGTTCTACCAAATTTTCCCCCTGTTCTTTCTGGTGGGTTCAAACCTGCCTCGCCGGCGATTGCCCTTCTGGCTTTTTGGTCTGCCTTTTCTTCAGCCTGTTTTCAAACTTCGCCCTGCCACCTTTCTGGTTGCGAACACATCATGGCGTTGGGGACCTAAAATGTCTCTTCCTCATTTTCGCCGACGCCTTCATTTCCTTCTTAATCTTCAAGCCAAAGAGAGTGGCGTGTCGAAGACGTTCGGTCTTGCTCCTCCATTTGCTTGTAGAGTTGGGGGGCTTGGATGTCTTGTCGCACTGCAAAGCTCATGATACTGTGCTTGCAGCATCTCATAACTTCAGTTATCTAATGACGTTGCACTGACCACCATTCGTTCTGATTGTTGCTCGCTCCTCTCGCTGTGGGTCATGAAGAGTTGGGCAACAAGATTGTCATTGAAAGAGAACGCGCCTCAACGCATATCGCCTAAGTGTCTCCAGATCATTCGGATCCGCGCAGGCTCTGGGCAAGGCACTCAGCCGGCTGCAAGCTGATGGCCAGCAGCTGCGCGTCTTGTCGTGCAATTGCTTGGAGATACTGCAGCGGCTGCCCCGTGATTGTAGGCATCCGGTCGTTCCGTGATGAGTGGAGACGTTTTTGAGGAGAGGTCCCCCATTTTTAGGGATCCACTGACGCGCATGCGGTCAAAAAATATATTATGAACTTTTCCGTATCTGAGCCAGCTAATACGTCCGTCGCTCAATGGCGGCAACTTGGCTGTCATTTGGCCTCCATGAAGATTCTCCATCTAACATTTGACATCTTACTTTGTCTGGAGAACCTGCTCTGCTACCACAATGGTGGCCCGTACAAAGGGCTAAACATCCAGGAGGGATATGCCGACTTCGTGTCTCTGGATCTATCTCAGACCTAATTAAGGCAGAATCAAGCGATGGAAACTAAGAAAATGCAGGATGTGTCCTGGTAGAAACTTCTGATAATGTACTACGAGGCACGAGCAACAACGGCTCCATGTGTCTCTCTATGCTGCAATAGCTGCATGAGATCACGAAGGGCCTTGAGCCCAAATGGCAGAATTGTTTGCTGTTGTTGACATACATATTTAGAGAGAGAGAGAGAAGTTGTGCGGCATCACGCACGCACCCACCCACGCACGCACGCACGCACGCACGCACGCACGCACGCACGCACGCACGCACATGCGCGCGCGCGCACGACTGCATTTTGGTCCATCATCATGAAAACACAGAACACCCCCTGCCCCTTTTTCGTGGTGCCGCAGGGGAAAACCATCCAGTTTCGGAGGACAATGTCTAGGATTCGTCTAAAGGGTCTCATACGTCACGGCAAATCAGGTGACCAGCTGCAGACCAGCTTGATCCCTGTTTCTTTCCTGCTGACCACCTTTCTTTCACCCTAGCCCTTCATGTCAGCGCAGGTCAACAAAGTGCCCAACGTTTTCGCTTGGCAACATTGCTAAAGTGGGCATCACTCGCTGATGTCAGCCATGGACATCAAAATGGTCCTTCGGCTGTCGGGCATTTTGAACATGCAAAGAAGGGCCCTTTATATGCTGCATATAAGAAACAATGCTCCTCAACACCGCTCAACCCTTCGCAACCTGAAAGCGCTTTGATCCGCACAGGACGAGTCGCTCTTGCCACGCCACGCGGCCGTTTCCCCACTTCCGGGGGGGGCCGCCAAGCCCAAGGATTGAAAGCAACTCTCTCACGGCAGCGTTTCTCTACGAGCTCAAGCCAAATCAAGCCAGAAGTTAACAAGGCAGTTGCCCAACAAAACTGGAAAACTGCGCGCCTGACGAAGCATCCCTTCAGGATCAGCGCCAGATAAGGTCTGGGCCCATGGCTTGCATGTGCAAACCGCTCGTAGCTCAAAGAAAACCTCCATTGCCAGTCTTTACCTTCACAGAACACAAACACCTTGAAATTCCAAGCCAGGGATTCCCTGAACGAGAAAAACTGTCTTTTCCTCAGCTGAACCCTTCACCTGGAATGCTCTAGTCCCTCTTCGAGCGCAGGCCCGCACAGATCTGCGGGATCTGCGAGGGCGGCTCCGCCAGGCAGCGCTCCCGGAAGTTGAGATTGGTCCAGTCCTCTCATGCGCACTCATTGCCATGTGTTTGGTGTTTTCTTCTTGGGATGGAAAGGTTGCGCAGGCAAGAAAGTGTTCAACGCTGGTCATTTGGCCCAACCGACTGGTCGACAGATCAAAGCTTGAGCCATCCTGGCGTTTTTGCATATACTGGACCATCTTGTCCATCCGGTGAGCCGTCCAGGGGAAGAGTAGCGCTCCGCCATCCATTATGTACACCTCAGAGGGCTCAAGCACATGCACTTCCAGCATTGGCTCTCCAAAATGGAAGGCTCGTCAATACTTTTGAGAACCATTGCAAAGGGACCAAACTCCCGACTGAGAACCACCTACATGGCAAGGGAACCCGCCGGGAACCCTCGCAAAGACGAGCAAAAAACCGGACCGTCTCGTGGCGGATGCTATGTCGAAGGCAGGCGGATTGGGCCACACCCGTTTGATCTACTTGGTGTTGGTCTGTCTGCGGAATGCGGGTATTGTTAATAGGGGGGCCTGGACCCCAAAAGACAGTGGTTTTCCTTCTGTCGCATTCCCTTCAAACGAGCGTCAGGAGTTGTCACGTGAAAGTGGTGGTTGTGGTTGCCGATGGTGTCCGCCTCACCAAGTCAGCAGCGAAGGACGAAGTTGGTCTTAGGGGTGAGCTCAACAGTGATCGGTGGAAACAAGGGTCACTCATGCAGAAAAGTGTACAAAGCCCATTCTGGCCCCTTTTGGTTCACTTGCAAAGGAATTCATGCAGCCATTCGAGCTCGCTGTCATTTAGTACCCAGGATTCCGGGCGTTCAGTTGAGGAACCAAATGAGAGCAGAGAATGGGCCTCCACGAATTGCCGTTTGCGTCATGACCCGCACCCCTTCTGCCTCAGAATATGCGGTTTGCTGGCCCAATTGGCTTCAACAGAAGCCAAGCCTGCATCTGAACCACCGAAGTGTTGTGGTTGGCTCCAGCACCCGTGTTTCGCTGACAAACACCCAAGTGCTCTTGATGGTTCCTCCAGTCTTTGCATCCGACAACCCCGACGTTGTTAGCGTTTGCCAGACAGCCCCGGGCGTTTGCTCTTCGACAAGTTGCGAGGCCTTGTGCTCTCTAGGCATTGTTATTGTTGGGCACTCCAAGAACCTTCGAGCAAGCTCCTTTTGGACCCTTTCGGCTTCCCCACATGGAGAACCATTGACCAACGCGCCTCGTGGTTGACCACCGCAAAATTTCGGCCGTCGCTCGGCCCGTTGTGCGCCCCGGGACCCGGTGCGCAGAAGGCGGCACCTCCGAGACCTCTCAGAGAAGCGGCGTTTCAAGGGGGCTGGACATGGCCGGTGTTCTTTGGGAAAACTACACGGGTGTTTGCCAAAACGGAATAGGGGCCAATTCCTGCAGCCTTTTCTCCTCTTTTTTGGAGGCAAACCCAGATAGATGGAGTCTACTTGTAACACCAGGCGGCACTTGATGGAAATCGCTGGAGAACCAGGCAACAGTGGAGGGAGAGCGCCTGAGTTTCCAAGCGCCCACACAGTAGACTGAAGTCAAAGTTAGCTGACGGGGTTGCTTTCGTGGGTGGCCTTTCCAGGTGGTTTCAGGGGGTCTATTCTGGACAACAAATGTCCAGCACCAAGAAATCACTGGCCCTCCCGCCAGCTTTTGCTTGGCCGCGCACCTCCCAGGAGTCCGATGATCAACCACAGAACAAAAATCAAGCAACGTGCCAACCATCCCCTATTTGGCCCTAAAAGAGAGCTAAACAGCGGAAGACGTAATCCCACAAGTCCCATGTTGAAGCAAGGAAAATGGTGGAAGCTATCTAGCAAGCCCAAACCCAAACGCAGAACCGTTATGAGGGGACTCCCCCCAACCCCCTGCCTAGAGTGGTGGCCAGAACCTCTGCCAGGTAACCGCCCAAAGAGTGACCGGTCACCATGACTTGGCACCCCTGGCACTGATACATCCTGCCGCGCTCATCGCGATCAGCTTCCAAAGGGTGCGCAGCTTCCTTTTGTGTTGGGGAAAACCAAGGCCCCCAGCAGAGGTTCTTGAACATCGAAACATCTGCCATGGACTGCCTGAGAGTACTCTCCAACTAACCTTTTCGTGATTCGAGGTCGTGGGTTTTTGCTGATGCATCTGTGTTTTGCTAGCGTATCACTCGAGAGGGCCCAACGGGGGCGGGGGGCCTCAATTCCAATGTCCCATTCATCATAGGTGTAAACCCCCTCCCCAATTCCGATTTGCTTGTCGGGGATCCGCCAAACCCTAGTGACTGCTTGACACGTCTCTCCTCACGATCTCGGCGGCTGTCAATACGAAGGCGCCCGGGTAGCCCCCCATCACAATGGACCGCAGGTCGCGGCGAGCATCCTGACATGAGAGCCAACAATCTTGTAGGGCTCGTCGTAGGGGTTTGGGGCGGGTGGTTTCAGTTTTCCTGGCAGCTTCCTTTCAAGAACAGGGTGATCAGGGCACACTCGAAAAATACACACCCATCTCGGCTTCCTACCCCTTACCAACAGAACGAGAATTGCGCCATCTACGTTCACCCTCGGAATTCAGCGCCGTGACATCCAAGCGCTGCCAATGGCCGGTCCTAGCTTCCTCGACCATGTAAATTAACTCTCGAAATACATAACACACCCTTCCTGAAGTAGAAGCCCTCTTTGAATTCCCTCTCATAGCAGGGCTGCACAAAGCTTCTGCAGTTCAAGTCTTGGGTCAGCTAGGAATAAAAGGCCGAAGTTCAAATCGATCGAGTGGGGTCGGTCCTGTTGATGTCTACCTCGATTCCCCATGCGAATTGCTTCCCAAAAGCCCTCAACACGATCCAACAAAGAACAAAACAACGAGGCCGGTCGGCGAACGACACCAGCAGTCGTGTCTGCTCGTGAAATTCCAGCCAGAAGACGTTGGCTCCCAAAACCCACCCTCCCGATCAAGATCAAAAGGTCACCAGAGTGGCAAAGGGACACCAAAGGAAACCAAAAGGCATTTTCAACCCTTGCGCCTTGATCCTCTTAAAAGCTCGGAACACCCCCTACCTCCGCCCACTGCCCATTGGCCAAGTCGCGTGCACGTCCAGCGTGCCGCGGATGGCGATCACTGCAAGATCCCGACGCTCCACCCCCACCGCGTCCAAGTCGGCATCCGCGGGGTTCCGACGGACGAAGACCGACATCTGGGCTTCGACCTGCGGAAGCCGTTCGAAGGAACCGACAACACATCCAGCGGAAAACCAAGGTCCTATCCTTGAAAGGAAAACATCCGAAAACTGGCGAACCCCGATTCCCGTGCACACGCGGCACCTATCCCGTCCATGAGCTCTTGAAGGAGAAACGTTGACTAGCTCCCGGGGCAAGTCAAGGTGGTGCGGCACAAACCAATCAAGTGATTCTCGTATGGATGGATGGATGGATGGATGGATGGATGGATGGATGGATGGATGGATGGATGGATGGATGGATGGATGGATGGATGGATGGATGGGATGGGATGGGATGGGATGGGATGGGATGGGATGGGATGGGATGGGATGGGATGGGATGGGATGGGATGGGATGGGATGGGATGGGATGGGATGGGATGGGATGGGATGGGATGGGATGGGATGGATGGGATGGGATGGGATGGGATGGGATGGGATGGGATGGGATGGGATGGGATGGGATGGGATGGGATGGGATGGGATGGGATGGGATGGGATGGGATGGGATGGGATGGGATGGGATGGGATGGGATGGGATGGGATGGGATGGGATGGGATGGGATGGGATGGGATGGGATGGGATGGGATGGGATGGGATGGGATGGGATGGGATGGGATGGGATGGGATGGGATGGGATGGGATGGGATGGGATGGGATGGGATGGGATGGGATGGGATGGGATGGGATGGGATGGGATGGGATGGGATGGGATGGGATGGGATGGGATGGGATGGGATGGGATGGATGGGATGGGATGGGATGGGATTGGATTGGATTGGATCGGATTGGATGGATGGATGGGTGGATGGATGGATGGCTGGATGGAGGGATGGAGGGATGGAGGGATGGAGGGATGGAGGGATGGAGGGATGGGGAGGGATATGGAGGGATATGGAGGGATGGGGTGGGATATGGAGGGATGGGGAGGGATATGGAGGGATGGGGAGGGATATGGAGGGATGGGGAGGGATATGGAGGGATGGGGAGGGATATGGAGGGATGGGGAGGGATATGGAGGGATGGGGAGGGATATGGAGGGATGGGGGGGGATATGGAGGGATGGGGGGGGGATATGGAGGGATGGGGAGGGATATGGAGGGATGATGGAGGGATGGGGAGGGATATGGAGGGATGGGGAGGGATATGGAGGGATGGGGAGGGATATGGAGGGATGGGGGGAGGAGGGATATGGAGGGATGGGAGGGATGGGGAGGGATATGGAGGGATGGGGGAGGGATATGGAGGGATGGGGAGGGATATGGAGGGATGGGGAGGGATATGGAGGGATGGGGAGGAATATGGAGGGATGATGGAGGGATGGGGAGGGATATGGAGGGATGGGGAGGGATATGGAGGGATGGGGAGGGATATGGAGGGATGGGGAGGGACATGGAGGGATGGGGAGGGATATGGAGGGATGGGGAGGGATATGGAGGGATGGGGAGGGATATGGAGGGATGGGGAGGGATATGGAGGGATGGGGAGGGATATGGAGGGATGGGGAGGGATATGGAGGGATGGGGAGGGATATGGAGGGATGGGGAGGGATATGGAGGGATGGGGAGGGAGGGATATGGAGGGATGGGGAGGGATGGAGGGATGTTGAGGGATGGAGGGATGGAGGGATGGAGGGATGGAGGGATGGATAGATCATTGCAGTGTAACAACCAGCCCCTGACGCACTCAAGGAGATCTGACTCATGACAAGCGAGTGGATTTGACTTGTGAGAAGCGAGTGCGCTTTCGCTGGGCCATGGGGGGCAGTTCATTGGAAGAATTCTAAAGAAAAGGAACAAACTGCCACGAGAATCAACGCGGCCGGAATGCAACAGCAACAACGAAACAAAGTCACCGAAAAGGAGTCACAATCAAGATGCAGGCATGGTTGAATTGATGCTTCCCCCTTGGACCTTGAACGAGGGAAAGCTATCTTCAAAGGCGACTTGCAAATTTAGCAAGTGCTTGCCGGCTTGCCAGTTTGCGTTTTGACAGGAAAATCATGCCGAGCAGACATGCGCAGCTAACCCCCCCTTGTCGAGAGCATGGAGAAAAGGGATCCTTTCGGGCTTGTCCTTTGATTAGCAACCAACTGGATCTTCATCTCGCATTCTGGAACAGGCGGCTCTTGAATCCGGAACATTACCCCAAAATGGTTTTTGAAAAGGCAAAATTCCATTTTTTGAGAAACCCCCGCGCTAGGCCTTCTCGTCCGGATCTCGCACGCCAGACAAATCCTAAGATGGAACTCGCGGGAAGCTATGCTCTGACCTTTGAACTGAGGCGAGGGGCTCTGGCAAACTACGAATCCCTGAACTGCAAATGAGGAATCCCCTATCAGGTGAGCACATTCTGCCCCGCAGCTGAGCTCGCTATGAGGTGTCTAGACGGATGACTTCCAGTTGCCACAAGCAACCAGGTCTGGGTTCATCTTAATTTTACACTGGCCACCTTCTATAGTGATAATCATCTGGAAGCACTGGGAGCAAAGTATAATCAACTCAACATAATTGCTCATAGCCAGTTGCACGTCCGATTCATAAACCTTCTCACAGGAGTTAGCCCCCCTCCCCACATTGCTGCAAAAAAAAGACAAAAATCTCGAAATACGAAAACACATATCCACGCCCCTCTTCAACCGTCCTGCCCTTTCAAACATTGTCTGTTTCAGCCTACAGGTAGCTCGAAAAGTGTTCCTGCAGAAGCAGTTTCTTGTCAGCCCATCCCTGCCTGCCGTTGTAGCCCGATCAACTTCCTAAACATGGTTTGAACATCCATAAGATAGGGTCTGCTCTGTCTGAACAGTCATTGTACACCTGCCAAGTTCACTTCAGATTGGATGGTCTACGGGTACGATTTATAGAACCAAGCGGCAAAGGGGTTGTGGGGTACGCTTAAATGTGTAAGCATTTAACCCCTTGTTCTTATTGTCCATCGAATGTCCAAATAATCCCTCGCTACCCCTTGTTTGCCAAGTTGGAAGCAAGCAGACTTCCCACAAATGTCAATTTGCCACCCACTGTTGCAACTTCTGGCGCCGCAAACGCAGGCTCTGCAGTCGGACATCTCGTGAATCCTCTCCCTCTGGACTTGCGCTCCACCCGGTTTGGTGATATGGGCTTCGCTGTAATGCACTCACAGAGCGAAACCTGAACGCTGATGTGTAGGCCGCATCGGGTAGCACATATGCTGGCGCCGGATAACTTCGAAACGAATGCTTAGGAGTAGAAGAATGCGCGAACTTGCCAACCTTTTCAAATAAGGTGCAAAAGAACAACAGAAGTAACAGCGGGAACAAAGGACCAAAACGTTGGTGTTCAACAATTGGGCATAAACAATGCACTTGCGCGCAGGATACGAAATGGTTGGATCGCAGGGTTCGGTTTCCGTCGAATCCTTCATTTCGACATATGTCAAATAGTTTAAGCAATCTCGGTTCTGGCGTCCCTTTAAAGGGGAACCTGTTGGCTGTTGCAAGCAATGCACTGCAAATCCCCTCCGAGCGGCGCAACGGAAGCCGGGCACACGCCGCCCGTCGTACACGGCGGCCGCCAACTCCGCCAGCCGCCACAACGGCAGCGAAGGGCCCGGCGCCAAAGGCCCCACTGGCCTGGCACGCAGTTGGCGAGCTGCGCAAGGATACAAACTAAGGATACGTCCAGAGTTACAAGAAGTTGGATCCAAATCAGCTGGCATTTGGGTGATTTTCAGCTGCCCTACAAGGGGCCCTTGGGCCAGTGCCACCCCTTGGAGAAAAACATCTTGGCCAAGAAACTCTGGTGAAAGTTCCGAAATGTAGAAAAACACCAGTGCACAAGCCAGGTCCTGCTTGGTTGAGGAAATGTGTTTGCGCAAACTGGGTTGAGGATGGGGCCTGTCCCTGAAGAAATGCAAGCTGGACAAAATCATCCTTCTGTTCCAAAGATTTTGCAGCAATTCTTACGGTGGCGATTTGTCCTCATAAACACCAGGGTACGGGGCAAACAGTGGGATCGGCTAGACATGAATACCCATCAAAGCTCTGGCCAATGGGACAAAGACCAAACAGAGTTTGACTCGTGAAGTGAAAAGCCCTCCCGGCACCAACTCAGCCGCGTTCGCTATCGGTGAGAATTGCACTTCCCCTCGGCATACAGTCCACTAGCCCACTATCCGCTTGGCATTTGACAGCGGATGCTATGCCAAAGCACGCTGATACGCATCAAAAGTTTGACATGAAATGATACATATCAACCCAAGCCTCGGATCTATATATTAAGATTTGGCCATGGAAGTCCGTTCATGGACTAATGGTAGTGGAGGGCAAAAGGAAACGAACCCCCTCCCAGAGAAATGGGCAGTTCCCTTCCCAGTACTCAGGCCTGGAGCTGGAACTGGATCTCTGGCAACACATCCCTCAAGATTACCTTTGAAGTTTTGAAGGGAAGCAACGAGCTCGACGGAGTGATCCAATAGACTCTTTAGAAACTTCATTCAGCTTCACAGCGAAGCATTGCGGATATCACTGAAGCTGCCCTCGCGCAGCTTCCGCTGAATTCCTACAGCCAGGTCTCGACGCCGAATGTTAAGCGCAAATGACTAGTACATCCCGAATTCCCACGGCAGAATGTAGTACATTCCACAAATTTCAACCAACTCGCGCAGTCTGGGGAGTTGATCAAGTGTGGGGTTCTCAAGTGTCCCGTCAAGCTGCCATTTTGTTGCTTTTTGGACGTCACTTTCTGGGACCCTATTTGACTTACTTTGAATGTTTTTGCCCGGGAAAAAGAATGAGGAAAGCCCGGAGGATTTGTCCGCGGAGCTGACTTGCAGTCAGGGCGCTGGATCCGCAGCTCAGCTACCTCAGCTCAGCGCCACGTGTGGAGGCTTCATCTGGGAACTCCACAATCGCGCATCTCAAAGAAACCTTCATTCATACACACATATAATATGTATATATCTGCATAGTAGATAAAATTTCATATGGAGCCAATAATGATTGTTCACAAACCTACCTTGAGGCCATTAAAAATGAGGCATCCAACCACCACCCTTCGCGCTTCACGCCCCCTCGCCTGTTGCAGCACCGCCGCCTGGTCCGCCAGCGCCTCCTGCGCTATCCGCGCCGAGCGCCGCTGCCAGTAGCCCTCCGCGCCGTTGGCCGCCGTGAAGGCGCCTCACGGGCGCGCCCGGGATCGGTGGATTCGGCGGACGGCGGGTGCGGTTTTTCGGCGGCGTGTTTGGGGCAGCGTTTGTTTGAGGAACTCAAAGGCATAGCGTATGAGGCGAAAGAAAGCTCATGAGGTTTGTTGGAGCAGTAGCTCTGCCTAAACTAGAAACCTCAAACTTCTGGCTCCTGCGGTTCCACCCAAATGGTCATAAATGTGCTTTCTTCTCGCCTCAACTTGCTACCTCCATTGAACCAGGCAGAACCCTCTACCAAAACAGGCAACGGGGAGGGCGGGGGGGGTTGGTCGCTTGGTGGCGTTTGTGGTGCACAGGGATTGGAGCCTGCAAAGGTATGTTCAAGGGCACTTACAAGTCATGCAGCTCATGATCAGAAGGCCTCTTAACAGGGCGGACCCGGGTTGATCAACAGGGGTTGCGCTTTAAAGACCGTCAAATCCAAACCATGCAGGAGGCTCCTGAGGTCCTGAAACAATGTAAGCGCCCGCCGATGGACCTGTTGATTATCTTCAGAACTCGATGGGGTGCAGAAGCACAACAGGTTTGCTGGTGCGGTGGGCTGCTTCGACGCGCACGGCCGTTGGCAAACCGGGTTCCCTAGCTGGGAAACGCCCACATATTCATATCTTTGGCATGTCGGAAAACATGCGAGCGGCCAAAACCTCGTCCAAAAGTGCGGCAAGCTTTGAAAAGAGCACCTTTTTCTCCTGGTTGAAGCCACCCGAGCCCAACACACGTTCTTCCAACTGCTGCCAAAAGCTCTTCTGAGCCCCTCACTTGCAGCGGGCGAAAGCTTTGTGTCATACTGGCAAAAATAGCATTCCAGATGACAAAATACTTACCTTCAGAGGAAATCAAAGAGATGTGTTGTTGAGGGCTTGTTTTCAAGAGAAGAGCTACCCCACGCATTTGGAGATGTACATCCAATTTGGACACAACAAATGGGAATGCTCCCATCTCATTGCCACCTGAACCAGCGTTGTGAACATTGCAACCACTGTGATATCATAGAAGGCCTTCCCGACAAGTTCTTTACTCAAAGGTTCCATGGTCAACTCCACATTCCCATCCTGCTTGACCTCTGCTCAGACATCTTCCAACATCATCTACATTCCCCCGCAAAAGCTTTTTTCCATGTTCTGCAAACCAACTTTGCCCAATGGCCACAGTTTTCCTCTCACCCGGGTTTCATGCGGAAGCGCCTGCCACAGCCCCTAGGGGCCCCGAGACCTGCATGGCCTCCGCCGCCGAGGCCGGCGCTGCCAGCGCGCCTCACCGGTGCAGGGGTCAGGCCGGAAGGTTAAACTCTAGGCAAAACAGAAGGAGAAACACGAAGAAGCAAAGAAGGAGGAGAAGGAGAAGGGGAATCCTCTTAGTGAAGCGGCGTCCACTTTTGAACTGCCTCCGCCACCACGATGTTTCTGGCCTGTTGGAGGGATCAACCTGCGAGGGGAAACATGGATGCTTGAAAAACAGAACGACGGGGTCACAAGAAAGAACCTGAACTCGAGGGGGATCAGCCAACCTTCGCTCCGAACCCTACGGCCCTACAAACACCGAACTCCACCCGCTGGGGTCAACAGCAAGGGAGAGGCGGGATCTTTTGTGACCCCGAACAGGTGTTCTCCCCACCAAAGCAAGCACAAAGCAAACGAAACAGAATTTGCTGCCAGCACAAACGCAACACTGCAAAGAACCAAAGAACTCAAACAAAAGCCAGAGTCACACCCCTCTTGCGACCTTCAAGCCACACCAGGTCAGTGTGTGGGGCGGGGGTCCCTCTCAAAGCCAACCAAAAGAGGCTGCCCATTTTCGACACATCCGCATGGGGAATGTCCGACTGGGGACCTTCGAGGATGTTCCAACAAGCGCAGCCCGTCTTGCTTGGGTCGTTGCGCCCGCGTTGACAGTTGAGCAAGCCTGGCGCTACAAAACATAGCCACCCCTTCCCAATCCCTTGATTCAAATTCACTGTGGCCCAACACCGAAAGTATGTCTGAGGATCCATAGGAAACCCGCAGGTTTGATTAAACCCGATCCATGGAAACTGGCTGGGGTCCTAAGCCGCTCCGGAACTCAACCCAGGCCCCACCATGGTTGTTGAACAGGCCATGCGCATGACTACACTTGTTCACTTGATAACCTTGGTATCACAAAAAACGCTCTACTAAAAGCCAGTTCGCCATATGGGCCCTTGACAAGTCCTAACTGTCACACTAAATAAAGAGCCCCACCCTCCAAAATCCCCTCGCGTCCTCGGAGGCCCTCGTAGGCGCCCTCGAAGCCGCCCTCCGCGGCTCGCGCCAAACTTCCCGCCGCAGCCGCCAGCACCTCGGCGATTTCCCCAAATTCCCGCCCCCCCCCCCCCCCAAAACCCCCTCACCCCCGCACAGAACACAAAAACTGTGCAGTGTCCTTTTGGCCTGTCTTAAAAAATAAAAACTGGTTTACAATGAACCCAATACACCAGTGGTTCATACCAGACGAGGTTGTGAAGTTTTTTGGCTTCCCTTCAAACAGCAATTCGCAACAAGAGCAAAGCCATTTCTTTAAACAAACAAAAAAGCTGGGACAGTGTCCAACCTTACGCCGGAAAGTGTGTATGATACGAACAGATTCCTAGGCAGTCAAGGAAGGCGTTCGGGTCATGCAAGGTTGGGCCCTCGTGCTGTTTGTTGCAAGGCGGAGTAAAGAAAGGGAAATAGAGAGAGAGAGAGAGAAAGAAAGAAAGAAAGAAAGAAAGAAAGAAAGAAAGAAAGAAAGAAAGAAAGAAAGAAAGAAAGAAAGAAAGAACAAAAGAAAAAAGAACAAAATAACAAAAGAAAATAGAGAAAGACAAAAGAAAGGAAGAAAGAAAGAAAGAAAAACAGGAAAGAAGAAAAGAAAGGAAGAATGAAGACTGGAAGAAAGGAAGAAAGAACGAAAGCAAAAAAAAGAAGGAAACGAAACAAAGGAAACAAATAAAAGGAAGAAATAAAACAAAGAATGGACAGAGAAAGAACATAAAGAAATGACGAATGGAAAAAAGAGGAGAACGAAACAGATACAAAAAAGGAAAGAATGCAGAAAACAGAGAAAAGAAAAAGAAAAGACACGAAAGAAAGAAAAAAGAAACAAAGAAGATAACCAAAACAAACAAGAGAAAGGAAAGAAAGAAAGAAAGAAAGAAAGAAAGAAAGAACATAAGAGGAGAGCAGGACATATCAAAAGGAAAGGAAGAAAAACAAAAAACAAACAAGAAAGATAACAAAAATATACAAAAGTAAGAAAGGAACAACGAAAGAATGGACAAACATAAAATAGAAGACATGACGAAAATACATAAAAGAAAGAACATGAAAAAGAAGACAAAAAGCAAACAAAGAAGAGAACGCTAAGTAAATAAATGAAGAAAAGAAAGACAATAAAGACCCTAAAGAAAGGAGGAAGGAAAGAAAGAAAGCAAAGAAGCGAACGAAAATACATACAAGAAAGACACAAAAAGAAAGGAAGGAGAAAGAAAGAAAGAAAGAAAGAAAGAAAGAAAGAAAGAAAGAAAGAAACGGGAGAAAGGAAGCAAGCAAGCAAGCAAGCAAGCAAGCAAGCAAGCAAGCAAGCAAGCAAGCAAGCAAGCAAGCAAGCAAGCAAGCAAGGAAGGAAGGAAGGAACAAAGAAGAAGGAAAGAAGCCATGAAAGAAGCTCGACACCGTGTGGGGAACGCTGCTCTGATTCTGCTAGTGTGGCAAGAAGGCTTCTCCATTCTTGTTGGCAAGAATAGCAGTTAGAGAAACCGCGACAGTACCTGCAACAGCAACTACTGCGACAGCGTCGCCGGTGACCAGGTCGACAAAGCAAAAGATTAGCATGAGTATAATTCCCAAACCTCTGTCCAGTCCTCCCAGAGACAAATGGACTGCCGAATTCAATCAGGCCGGGACGAGAATCTCCCCGGTAAGCTGCACAAGAGCCAGCAATTTCCAGGACGTTGCTTTGCCCCACAAAATGCAAGATTTGTTGATCCAAGGCACCAGCAACACAACACTATGAAGAAATAAAGCATCCCAAATGACGCCCGAACCCACCCAACTCCGAACTCCCGAATTCCGCACAAAAAAAGGCGCCACAGCAGCGGAGGTGGCGGTCAGGGCGACGCCGCCGTGCAAGATCTCTCCAGCCCCAACCTGTTGGCCCAATCCCCTGTTTTGGGTTTGGTGAGTGGCCCGATTTCCTTGTGAATGTTACTTGCATGATCCTCTGCTTTTGGAACATGTTTAGACCCCCGGAGTTCAAACATCGTCGATTCAACCTCTAAGGGGCACATGGCTGATTGAGCCAATTCTGCGATCCCAACCAAAGTGGGGCCCAGTCTCCCGCTGATCCATTGAGGGTGACTTGAACATGGGTTCTTCGTGGCTGCCTGTAGATTTGAGTTTCGTGGGTGCCTTCAAAACGTCTGCCAAGGCCTACACTCCAGTCACAGCTCTCTGGCATACAGGCGACTCCTATTATTCACCAAGAATCTTCCCTAAGCCCCCGGCCCGTTGCACCGGGTCACTTGCAGCTCCCCACAGGGCCCCTCCCGCCCGAGCCTATCTCAGAGAGGGTTTCTACACTTTCGCAGATCGTTTCTTGCCAAGCCGGAGTCAAAAAGGTAAACCCGTGTCCGCCCCTTTCAATCGCGCACTCTGCGTCCATAATCAAATCAGGTTTCCACTGCAATAAGCCCGGATAGTTTCTCTTTGATCTGATGGCTAAACCGAGAGGAATCCTTTCGAAAGCAAGCTATTTGGCAGTGAGCTCGATGTGGGCCTCCGTGTTGCACT